AAAATGCCACAAAACCCCACAGATTGCCCTTCAACTTTTTAAGCCCGTGGAAGTTTACCCTTCACCTTATAAGATGTGATTTTATACCCTTCTGGTATTTGAGTGTTTGGAATTTTACCCTTCACCTCACAACTTTAGGAGGGTATGTGTCACGCCCCAGAACCCAAATCCAAGGACGTGGCAGACGCCGTGCACCCCGTGAACGGGTCCCACGAATGCACAAGGCTCGGAACTTATCCAAATCACAAAATCTCATGAATAAAATCAACTTTACAAAAGGATGATAAAATCTAAAACTTATACCCCAATTGAATGGCTAGCCTTCTAATTCGTCACTCCCCTCGGTTTCCCCGTCCTCGGTTTCGCTTCCTGAAATGGTGGACAAGGAAAACTATGAGATAACTCAGTAAGTAAATATGTATAGCCCTTGGGTAAAACTTTGAAGCATGCTAGATAAACCATGTAAGCATAACAGAACTTTCAATGATAAACCGTTAAAACATAATCAAATTCAGTTCAATAACAAAACGTTTCATGACAAACCATTAAAACAGAATCAGATTCAGTTCAATATCAAAGCCTTCATGACAAACCGTTCATGCAGAATAAAACTCAGTTCAGTAGTCTCATTTATAAGTCATGGCCAGCGTTTATAAACCTCCCACTGGCGGGCACAGTAGTTGCCAATGTTTAACCCCATAGGCAAGGTTACCCCATAGGCAAGGTTACAGAAGTGCCAGTGTTTAACAACTCCCACTGGCGGGCGTCAGTAATGGTGCCAGTGTTTACAACTCCCACTGGCAGGCGACAGTAATTACCAATGTTTAACCCCATTGGTAGGGTGAACCGGTTCTATCAGTAAACATATCGACATGTGCTAGCGTTTATAAACCTCCCACTAGCGGGCACAGTAATCAGTAATCATGACTATATCCGAGACAAAACCATGCAGAGTTTACAGAGAACCTGAATTTCACAATCAATCCCAATTTCAAAAATAACCAGAAAAATTCCATGTGGGCATGGATTTATCAGAAAACTCAGAATTTGCAAACTCTTAGTTCATCAAAACAGTTCAGTCAATTCCAAATGCGCATGCTGTACTCAATACCAATGAAAACAGTTTCATTTCAAACCAATCATGTTCAATTCCAGAAAACAGTGAAATTCTCATAAAAACCATCACAATTTCCATTTCAGTTTAATCACATTCAGATGCTGATAAAATCAATTTAAAATCACTTTAAACCTTGCCACCATCTCAAAAATAGTTTAAAACATGCTTTAAAATCGAAGGGCTTTACCATAATTTACTTACCTCACTCGCATAAAACCGAAGACTCGATCTCAGTGCTAAATTGACAGAACGATCAGGAACCTAATCAAAATATTCCACAGTTAATACCTCACTACCACAATTTCAAAGTGCTATTTCTATCCATCTCCACATAACCGGACATCTCCAAATTTATTCTTATATCACAAACTAATCATTTAAATCCCTGTTAATCGTTAACCCTCGGTGTGTGAACAGTGCCTATAAACAGTACCCGTGAACAGTGCTCACACCGTGAACAGTACTGCCACTTCCAAAAATTAGCAAAACCATAGCTAATCTCACGGGATTTTTCACACAAAACATCACAGCAGCTAATTCAAGCTAAATTCTACTTAATCAAGCTTAAAACACATTTAAAAGGGCTGCCAAATTCATCCCCTATCCCAGCAGATTCGGACAACACAGAGCATCAACTAATGGACAAAACCCAGCCATTAAATAGGTCATTTTAAGCTTGGAAAAGACGGCAACTTACCAGAATTTAGCAAGCAAAACCGAGCCTAGCAGGGGGGGAGAAGCCGGCGGCAGAGAAGAAGAATTTCTGCAGGGGAACTCACGGCTACCCCATCCAAAAACCAAAACACAATTCAAGGTAAACCCAAGCCAAATTAAAGTTGAAAAGGTGAAGTTTATGGCTGTGGCTTACCGAAAAAGGCCCAGAAATTCAAACCCACATGCTGAAGCCGACGGACAGCAGAGGGAGGGAGACGCAGAACAGATCTGGGATTTTCTGGGTTTAATAGGCGTTCTAGAACAAGAAAATAGGGAGAATCCCCAAGCTTTGCGGGATTTCCAGCCGGAAATGGGTGGCGGTGACGGGGGGGGGTCGTCGGGGAGGCAGAGCATCGGGGAGAAGAAAAATGAAGATGAAGAAAAGCAAAACACGTGGCTGAGGACAAAAATATCAGCCTTGATCCTTATCTAAATTTTTTTTCTTTTTAGTCCCTCAACTTTTAAAAATTTTACGTTTAAGCCCCAAAATAAAATTTTCCCTCAAATAAGTCCCCAATTTAATGCTAAAATACCCCAAAATTTTGGGATATTACAGTATGACATCATAAACTTGAATATCATGAAAGTATAAAATCATAAACTCGAATATCAGGAGGGTATAAAATCACATATTGTAAGGTGAGAGGTAAAGTTTCACACACTTAAAAAGTTGAAGGGCAATCTGTGGGTTTTTGCCTCGAAAATGCAATGGGAAATGGGAGAATCCGATCTCAAATCTGCAAATCAGATTTCTCACAGAAACGAAAATTTCCATGCTAGTCAGAACTTTTGACCAAATCAGCAAAAAAGCCAATTATTTTAGTCAATTAATTTGACCGAAAAATTCCAAGTACACAACTGTGCCATCCTTCATGTCAGTTTAGTTCAGCCTTTTTTTTCCCCATATTTATTCAGTCAAGCATTTTGACCAAAGTAATATGTATAGGGATGTTGATACTTTTCGCCAATTTCTCTAAAAAGAAATCGAGGGTCTGTTATTTTTGAGCTTATTTCGATCATAATGCTTGATCGAAATAATGCTTTCCCTAGTTCGGTCAAGTATTATGACCGAACAAATTGATGGAGTTTTTTGGTCACATAATTTGTCCAAATTAATCACTAGGAAAAATATATTAATTTGTTTGTTTCAAACAAGTTGGTGAAGTCCCCTAATTGTTATTCTATTTCCTACTTGTTGAGATTTCCTTGTTTTTGCTTAATTTCTTTCAAACTTTCTAATCTAAATTTTGTAAATAATTTAATATAAAAAATTATACCAATTAATTAGTCATATGTTTTAAATATATATTAAAACATGTAATTGAAAGCTTTATCTAAAAACACAAATATAAAACATAACCTAATATCATAACTAAAGTGTTATGACCTAAAATACTAATTAAAACACTATGCCCTAATCTCATATATGTCCATTTCATATATAATAGTAGAAGATGTTTTGATACAAAGATCAACTGAAAACAACGCCAATTATGCTTCCCCACTTGTCCTAACCCTTCCTTCTCCTTGCATCCTTCCTTGCATCCATCCCTGCATCCCTCCCTGTATCATAAAAAACATTTTCTCCATCCTCTCAACCTTCTCTTGTAATGTCAATTGATTCTCTTGTAATTCTGTTACAGTCTGTTGTAATTGGACCACCCATTGGGATGACTGAACAGAATTATCAAGTATAGTATGCGACAGATGCTTGTAGTGTGAGACCCCTTACGCAGCAGGGTCCATGTACATAGGTATGCCATTAAGTCGCCCATCCTTTGAAGGTCCATGCAAAACTTGGGACAAAAGCTAGGCATCAACTGTTGTTGGCCATGTAGTTGTATCCTCTCCATATTTCTGAATGGCTTCTACATTTAATCTTTCTTGCAATAAATCATATAATATATTATATTATTTAATAAAGTTTAAAAATATCATATAATCAAATATATACTTGCAACCATAATATTCAATATAAGTATAAATATCATAATAAAATTAGTTAAAATTTTTACAATTCATTATAAATTTTAAAAGAATTCGGCAGAGTTTCCCCTAAAAATTGTATTTCTTGTAATAAATCATATAATATATTATATCATTTAATAAAGTTTAAAAATATCATATAATCAACTATATACTTGCAACCATAATATTCAATATAAGTATAAATATCATAATAAAATTAGTTAAAATTTTTACAATTCATTATAAATTTTAAAAGAATTTGGCAAAGTTTCTCCTAAAAACTGTATTTTTCTCATGTAAACAATGTATAAAATTACATTCACCAATATACATATTTCCAATTATGATATTGAATAAAATTAAAATGCAATCTGATTCCACTTAGATAAATAAATATAGGACATTTCAAGTTATCCCAATTAGCCAATTAATATGAGCCCCTTAATTTGAATTTATTTTTTAATATGAATAAAAATGAAAGAAAAAAGGTTACGCAATTGTAACTAAATTAACCAAAACAAGAAATTGTCAAACTTTTTACTTAATCTTGATTAGAGACTTAATATAATTATCAATGTTATACTATAAGTACTTAAATTTATCACAATTCATTATAAATTTATAAAAATTCAATAGAATTTTCCCTAAAAATTGTATTTTTCCCTTATACACAAAATATAAAAATACAATCAACTAAAACAAGATTAACCAAAACTAGAAATTGTTAAACAAATTACTTAATCTTGATTAGAGACTTAATATAATTATCAATACCATATTATAAGTACTTAAATTTATCACAATTCATCATAAATTTATAAACAAATTTGATAGAGTTTCCCTTAAAAATTATATTTTCCCCTTATACACAAAATATTAAAATACAATCAACCAAAACAAGATTAACTAAAACAAGAATAACTAAAACAAGAAAATGTCAAACAAATTACTTAATCTTGATTAAAGACTTTATATAATTATCAGTACCATATTATAAGTACTTAAATTTACCACAATTCATTATAAATTTATAAAAAAATTCGACAGAATTTCCCTTAAAAATTGTATTTTTCCCCTGTACACAAAATATAAAAATACAATCAACAATATATATTTTCTTCTATGATATTCAATAAAAATAAAATGTAATCTGATTTCACTTAAATTGAATAAATATAGGAGAATTCATGTTGTCCCAATTAACCAATTAATAAGGTATTCTTAATTTTAATTGATTTTCCAATATGAATAAAGTTAAATGAAAGAAATATTACCTAAATTGATTTCTCTTAGGAAATAATAATCGTTACAAAGAATACTTACAACATACTCCTGAACTTGCTCATCAATATATGTTGGCATTTTATCATTTTCCTTTGGATGGTGCATTTTTTTTGCATGGATCACATCAACAAATGATGGATCTCTATGTTCTGGATCTTTTTCCTTCTGCAATATCATATATTTAATTATTGTGTTAATTTACACGAATATTATAATTAACAATAAGATTATTATAATCATTTATGAGATGAAATCTAAAACTTATAAGTAAAATTTTTACCAATTTTCTCACAAAGTCATCGTAATCCATAGATCCCACCTGTGTGGGTTACTTTGGGGCCCTTGGCTCGATTTAGCTTTACTTGCTCTCTACGCACATTGAACTGAGGGTCCTACATCCATTTGTACTTTAACTTCTTCCAAATCTCATCAGACATGTATAGTTTTTTTTTTTTCAATAAAATTCTTCTTTCTGCATGAAGTTTGGATATCAGTCATCATTCGGTTATATCTTTTTTCATATACTCGTAGAAATGCTGTATGAACAACATTCTCATGAATAGGGTCCCACTCATATCTATTCTGAAAAAAAATATATTAGTATCATATATTCATGTATTAATTGACTCATAGAAAAAAATGCACATATATAAATAAAAACATATTGAAATTTATTCAATAAAACTACAAACCTAAAAATCTTGCCAATACACTTCCTTGTGCCCAAGCGATATTGAGCCCCAACCTGTATATGCATCTCGCATATTGGACTTAAGACTGATTGAAATATCCTTTCGAACTTATTTAGGTAATATTTTCCAATCCCAATTCCCTATGCTTAGCTTTTGGGATGGATCCTCTGGCAATTTTTGCCCTTTGGCAATACCTCACCCCTTTTTGGGTTGAGGAGGCGAGGGTGCACTTGAATCAATGTCACTACCATTATCATATGTCTCCATTGGAGTCTCTCAGACGATAGTACTAGAAGATCCAGTTGCTTGTGATTGATTTTTTCTGGTAGGCTTTTGGGTGGCAACATTAATAGCCTTATCACCCCTACATAATCCCAGTAAGCAATTCACTGCATAAAAAATAAGAAATAATACTACATTAGTATATGAATGAAAAAAAATGTATTATATTTAAATTTTAAACAAAAATAAATCAAACATAAAATTTAAAGCCAATATCTAAACAAATTAATAATCATCAAATTAATTTCTCCTCTATATCAATTAACAATATATATCATCCACTATGTTATAAAATATCACACACATACACTATTCATTAATCAAAAAGTATCTATGTGTTATTAATTAATTAATTACTACTATTACTCTCAAAAATGTATTCAATATTATCTTCCTCAGATGTAGAATAATCTTCAAATTCTTCCTCCTCTTCATCCTCTTCCTCAAATTCTCTATCATCATTTACATCCTCAAATTTGACATTAATGGTAGATACAGTCCCATCAGTATGCTGAATAGGTTGATACAATATTAAATCGGTTTCAGTCGGTTGAGGAGGTAGAGGATCATCATCTTGAAAAATGGGTTCTGGCTCATCATGTTGGTCTTCTTGCTCATTTGGCATCTCAATAATACTTCTTATCCTACATTTCAATGCAGCAAGCCATCCCTCTCTATTAGAATTATGTGATGGATATAGAGTGTAATACACCTATTTAGCTTGACTCGCCAAGATGAAAGACTCATAAGTTCTCAGTTTTCTATTTAGATTAATATCAACAAGACAATGTTTTCGATCAACCACAATTCCTCGTGCAAGAGGAATTTCATACCAATCACATTTAAATAAAACAACCATCTGTCGATGTTTGGAGCCAACATATTGAAGTTCAATCACTTCCTGCAATAACCCATAACAATCCAAATCTAATTCTATTTCTGTGGTTCCCATGATACACACACCATTATTCAATGTTCTTTTATTTCTTCCACATGAGGCCGTGTGAAATTGAAAACCATTTACCCAAAAGCCTTTATAGCATGAAACCATCCAAGATGGGTCATGAGCCAAACAAATCAAATGCTCATCAATGCCTTCAAACTCATCATGTAAAACCTATATCAC